AATTATATTTTTTCTGTGTATTAATAATAAATCGATTTAAATCCAATGGTTAAAAATAGCTGTGAAACAGTTGCCTCTGGCAATAATACCTCGAAACTAGTATCTAAAATTGTTAAACAGATATCACATAGAAGAATTTCGATTTCTCTTCGTCAATTACTGGAAATAGTGAAACCTGAGATTCGTCAAGAAATTATAAACTCGATAGCAAACCCGGATATTTCTCGGCGTATCCCAAGTAAGGCTAAAAGAAAAAAGAAAATTTTAAATGATACCGCACCTGAGTCCTCATCCTCATCTTCATCTGGGTCTGAATCGTCTAATGATGATGATTTTACTGTGGATGTAGTAAAAGTAATGAAGCGTAATTAATCTTGATCATAGATATGAAATGGTCTTGCTTCTTCAGGCGTTTGTCCTCGCCGGCGATAATTGACTACAACGTAATTTTGCACAGGAGAAGTATAGTTGTCGGGATTGTGGCGTAGACATTCCCCAGCAATTGTATAAGCGTGGGCCATATTCTCAGGTTCATGTACTACAACACCATAAACTGCACCCATTTTTCATAAGTATTTAGGAATTAAACCATAATCTTTTAAGAATCTATTGAACCATTTAACTCCTGGCTTACCTGGATCACCCATTCGTCCAGATGATATAGTGCTCTGAATCCAAGTGAGTAGTTCTTTGGCTCGTTCTTGATTCTTTTCCATAGATCTAAATTTTCTAGGAATATCTGGCTGACCCCGATTCTTTGCATATCCTGTTACTCCAGCATCTGTAATACGTAAAGTTGTAAGTTCAGCAGGGCGGATACAAAGCATCACCATAACATCAGCAAGAGCCTTACAATCAGGTAAAGTTTTAACATTATACGCATCTAATCTTTCTTTGACTGATTCTAATGTAAATTCATCTGGATAATCAATTGTTTTAGCCTTTTTCCGATTGTCCATTTGGATTTTGTTAGCATCTTCTGTAATATCTGGGAATTTCGTGGCCTCAATTATATCAAATGATGCACCAAGGTTTTTTAATTCTCTTCTAAGCCGTGAAAGACGTGATGAACCAGCATTGGCATTTTTTGCTGATAGGGCTAAGGCATAAGCTTCAGCTCTTATATCCCTAATACTAAGCTTATCTCGTAAAAACCGATGTGCCATCTCTCCAATAGTTTCTTGTAAGACCTGATCTTTCGAAGAATGGAGACTTTGTCTCTTAGAAATAACAATGTTTACTGTAGAACAGGGCACGTTCTCCTTGGTCTTATTTTCGTTTTCCTGGGCAGAGAATAAGGCTTCCACTTGATCCTCACTAAACCCATATCTATTTTGCAAGATTCGTTTTGCTTTCTCTCTGACAATCTCTTCTTCCAAACTTTTTGGAGGCTTGGTTATGGCTATTCTACAATCACCTTCGACAATATTTATGTTTTTGGTTTTACCAGCTCTCTGATTAGGTATCAATATACTTACCTGCTCATTGCTAAATTTGAATCCTTCCCGAAGGCGTCTGCGCGCCTGATTTCTTTTTCTATCATCTGTAAGATTCTCGAGAAACTCAGAGGTACATTGACTAAGTTCAGATAGACTTGTCTTGGAGCTGAGATTATATTTTTCTACGATTTTAGTTGCGATGGCTGACATGGTTGAATGTTTTAATAGGTCAAGTAGTTTATGAATAATTCTTTAGGTTATATACACTATAAAAAATATTTTTTCAAATCGAAATTAATTATGCCTTTTCCTCTCATGCATAGAAAAAGAGCATATATGTCTACATATGGGTAACTGACCATCGATTTGAAATTTAAATCGTTCTTTGCATTTTTAATACATACATTATTATTTATGGTACATTCAACAATTTTTAGTATACCAGAAGTATTAGAACGAATTTTATATTTCTTATTGGTAGATAAATCCCTCTATCCCACTCTATATGTTTCCCGATTGTGGTACAGATGCGGTGGTCCTATTCTATGGAAACGA